GTCAGCAGTTGTTATTTAGAGGTAGTTCTCATATGCTACCTGCTAACTTCTTCAGAGTTTATCACTTACCACTAGTATGGCACTTGTCGTTTAGAAGTAGTTCTCATATGCTACTTGCCGACAAGTCCAGAGTTTATCACTTACTAAAAAGCAAGCACAGTAGCTCTTTCCCTTTTCTAAAAAAAGGGTTACTAGTCGTCGGTTCTTTCAAGAAAAAAATACTCTCGTTGGGTGCTAGTGGTCCTTTTCTCAAGTCTCTCTTGATCCTGTCAGTCTTCTCCAAAATTTTTGACAAAAAGTGGGCGATTCAGCTTATCCTCTCCAAAAGATTGGTATTGTTTACCTTTCAAATTCGGACATACCCAGGAATGCAATCATGTGTCTTGTTTATCAGTGGATATGATACGCAACGTAGTCTATAGATATGGGTCCTCCATGTAACTGGAATCAGGTCTCTGGCATCAGAGGTAGCCGGTAGTCAGATATTAAAGTTCTTATATTGTAATCAAGATATATAAATGTTGCAGTTGTTATATAATTTTTCTTAAACCTGGCACTAGTTATAATAGTATTTTTTTTCTTGTTTTGTATTTTTTCTCTTGTTTCCCCTGTGCTATTTCTTTATAGAGGTAGTTCCTCTTTTTGTTAGCCCTCAGGCTTTTTTCTTTGTATTTCTTTTTTTTACATCTCATTGTACCCTCTTTTTTTTCCTTTAAAAATACTCCTTCATTCTATTTGTTTTTTTTAGTTAGGCTTTCTTTTTGTTTTCTTGATAGTATTGGTGGTTTTGTATGAGATTATCACTTTCTTTTGCTCTTAGTAAAGAAAGGAGATATGAAGGGAAAAGCTTTGACAGGCTGACAAAGTTTATTTAACTTGTATACAGATTGGTGCGACAAGTCGCATATAGGCACATTTATCGCAGCCGGATAATGTCAAGCTCGCTATTGCGGTAACTCCCTGTTTGTAGTTATGAATAATACATGTATTGTTTGAGAGAGCTCAGCTCTTACCTAAATATAGTTGCAATAAATTGAGTACTGGCAAAACTGTCAAAGATATATATATATATCTAATATATATTAATTACCAATATTGGTTTTTCGTTTTTAAAACATTTTCATAATTATTTAATAAACAAAATATAATCATTACATGACTTTGCTTATGCCCTACATTGCGGCTATCACCACCAAGTTTAAGTTTAAGTATATTGCCCGATTTAATTATATTTGATTGTTTCCATATAGGAATTAACATATATAATATAGTACAAATAGATCGATATATACTATTTTCAATATCAGACTCATTTATTTGAATATCAGATTCGGGCTTATTTGCTTCATCAAACTCTAATACTTCATTGTTTATTTTGTTAATATTAAATGTTCTGATTTTAATATTTTTGTTTATATGATTTGTAATTCTAGTTCTATGTTCTGCTAATATATATTCTAGAGTAAGTCTGCTTTCTACTGCAGCTAATAGTCAATATCCATTATGAGAGAGCAGCGATTCATCACAAGCCCTTACAATTGCATCTAGTTTAGTTAAATATTTTTTTTTATCAGATGTTTGATAATTTAAAAAAATAGCCTCATTATTATAATCTAATATAATATTTCAAAGAGAAACTATTAGCTGATTACTTTTATCAATTAATTGATGAATTTTAATAAGGTCACGTATAATATTTCCTGATTGTTTTCCAAATGTTGCAAATCTTTTATTTTGACCCAATGTTGAATGAATTGTTGATAATGGGTATTTTTTTTTTGTTGACAAACTGATTTATTAGATCTTGGGATATATTGGTATTTAATTCTAATCGGCATTTATATAATTTACCAATATCAAATCCAAATATTCGTGAACCAGATAACTCCATTTTAGAATAATTATGATGCTAAACAAATTTTATAATAAATTAAATTAAATTATCTAATACAATATATAAAATCAATATATATTTTACCTTTAAAAAAGAATTAATTACATTCAACGCTGATTTATCACTATATAAACTCTATTCAGTTTTATTTCCATCTATTTAACTATAAATTTTACTTTTCTATTTGACTGATATTTTGTTTTACATTGTATTTGTTTTTTAATTAAACTTGTTTCAACTCTATATTCATCAGGAATTGAATATTGAATACCTTCTTTTGAATTTTTCTAAGTAAATTTTAACTGAGTTGGATAATGTTCTAAAGATACTATATTGTACCAATTATAAAATGTTTTATTTCCACTTTGGTATCCTGCCTTTATAAGTGAATTGGTAGGATATTGTTGTCTAAAATCTCGAGTAGAATAACTATCTAAAATATATAAATTAATAATATATAATTATTAATAATATATATGATAAAATCTCTAAATATATTCTCTCTAAATTTATACTCTAATACCTGTCTAAATATAAGTATAGTATATCTATATAAATTATTAAAATATCTATTTACTATTAATGAAGTCATATGTGTTTTTTGTACTATCATTACTAGAGAATAAGATAGAAGATAAAGTAATTGAATTATTCATTTTTTAAAAATAAACCATCAGTGTTTAATAATATAGCTAGTATTTTGATATACAAAAAATTTTAATAATGGAAAAAAACAATACATGAAAACAAGATTAAACAAGAATTGATTTACATTATTTATTTAAAGTTGCATTAGAATATCAAATAACATGATAATAATAATAACTAACAGATAAATTATAAATATTA